CGGCAGTTTGGAAAGATTGTGGCCTAGTGCCAAGGAATGCCAACAGCTCTTAAACTTTGGATTTTAGGTCTCTAGGACTGTGAAAAAAGGTTTCTGTTAAATAGATCAATATATGAGTACCAAGTCAATAGGAAATAATTTATCTCCCTAACACATTTTTGTGGGTAAAACACCAAAGTACCACTTGAGTGAAATGAAAAGGAACAAAAATGTTTCTATTACTGAAAAGATATAAATGGAGAAATATTTCAATGACATATATTTGAAATATGCCTTGTGGTCTTGGTACAGCTGAATTTGAAAATAAATGCATCAACATTGGGTCTGAAACATTTTATGGCCACTGCACATATATAAATTTAGTGCTTATTACAAATGGTGTTTCCACAATTATACTATCATCTTCCTAGATTAGAAGCCAATTCCCCATATAAATTATGATGCTTAGAAAGAAATTACAGCTGGTCTGTGGCATAAGTAGGATTTTTTTTTTCCCATCGGGGATGCTGTATTCTCATAGCTGCCTGCTGTCTTTTTGGCTTTTATTTATTTTTAAAAGATTTATGCAAACAGAACTGGGGTACAGGCCAGAGGTGCAGGGGAGGTGAGAGGATTCACCAGAGACAGAGTGGGCAGCAGAACAGGCAGACCGAGGAAGAACAAAGCTGAGGGGAGCAACAGGTCAGTAGAGGTCTAATGCGCCCTGTGATCACCTCCAGGACCTGGCATAGAGCTCACACTGAAATGGCTGCTGCTAGCCTGCAGTAGTCCTAACCTGTTGTGCCAGCCAACAGGGAGGGCCTGTTCTTGCCTTTTTTTTTTTTAAATCTCCCAAAATTTTACTCTTCTTGGTTTCAAAGCCATGTTACATCGCTAATTGTTGCTTTAGTATGTAGATTTCTTTTCTGCCAGTGTGTCTTTTGTGACATCTTCATCCTTTTCATCACAACCACTTTTTCCTTTATACTGATGAGTTCACCTTCACAAATTCTCTCCAAGTTCTTGCTTTTTAACAGTCGTTTGCTGTACTCAAATCTTTTCCCCATCCCCAGCCCAATTAGGTCAGGCTTTCCTAGTTTTTTCTCCATGCTTTATCATTTTTCATTCAGTCATGGCTTCAGTTACTTCTGGTGTATCAATGGCTCCAATGGGTGCTATTCAAATCTATCAGCAGATATTCATTGAAAAAATGTGTCTTTAAATCAAGAAACAACACCCCCTCCTGTTTATCTTGCCAGTTTATTCTATCACTGTTCATTCCCTCTGGTTCTGCTAATACAATTAGTTTTTCCTTCATTCCCCATGTCTTGGTCATAAACTAGTTCTCCAGCTATACTTTTCTTGGCTTCCTTTCTTATGGCTCCAACCCAAATCATTTTATGCTTACAAACCAAAGCAGCCTACTATTTGACCAGGTTAATTTTTGCATTCCCATTGCTCCTTCCTATCTTTTACACAGCTGTCAAATCTCTTGTTTCAGTCATATTACACCCAGTTAGTTTCTCTGGCAACTACCCACTTTATTATCATACCCATAAATTGTAGTTCACATCTAATATGGATACTTTTCCCCTTCTAGTCATGAAATTCTGCATCACTTGATTGCATCTAATATTGACTTGAATAAAATTAAGTCACTTGCATTAGTATTAACAGAGCATGAAGTATGGCAGCCATTAATTGGATTTTCACTGAGTTGATGCTTCTTGAGTGGTGTTTCCCACAATTGGTGTGTCAGGCATCTTGCCAGAGGGAACTGGGTTTATTATATCATTTACTTTTGTTATTCCCTCTGCCCCAAGCATGGCACATTCAAAAGTTTGACAGTAGCTGTTTCCTGTTCTGAAATTGGTGATCACAGGAGACATAAACTACCATATTATAAATAGAAATGAGAGACCTCCTGCTGGTGGTGTAAGGGTGAAGTCCCGTCAGCTCTGAAGCTATCCAAGGCCACTGCAGCTTAGGTTCGAACCCAGGCCAGGGAGCTAACCCACATGGTGCAGCAGACCTCTTCTGTCTCATTGCTCCCCTTAAGTGTTACTTCAGTCAACCTGCCCGTTTTGCTCCCCACCCACACTCTGGTGAATCCTCTCATCTCCTGCACCTCTAACCTACACCCCAGCTTTTGCATGTGTAAATTAATAAATCTTTTAAACAGATCCAGAAATATGGATATAGCAGCTGACAAAAACACTAAGGGCTCTGAGCTATGCTTACTTAAAAATGGCTGTAACCTTTTAAGTGAAAATATTAGTCATAGAAAAATTCTGTAAGATGTCTGTTTAGTTTTTAGAAAAAATCCTGGATTTTTACCCAAATGTTGAATGCAATTATCTCATTTATGTAACTGTGTAAAGATTAAGTTAAACCAGATTCATAAAATAAAAACTTTCTCCACTTTCAGATAAATCATGAGAAATGACTGACTGCCTATAAATGATATAAATTATCGCAAATGGAAAGCTTAGAAACTTTAAGATAGTAACCAATAGAACTTTGCTGTCTACCCTCCTATAAAAGAATGTGACTCCATGTAGGCAGAACATCCAGCTGTATCCCACAAAGAGTGGTAGATAATATTAAACACATTTATTCTTAGATACAAAAATCAGGAAATTTTCCTAATTTTGCATAAAATCTCTTATTTTTAAGGTCAATAATAAAGGGAGCAAGTTCAAATCTGTGCAACACAGGGAATATTTAAAAAGTAGCAGTAGAAAACAGACAGGCCTACATAGCAATAAGTATTTTATTTCTATCTTTCAAAGATAAACTAAAGTCAAGTCTATAAACTAAGTTGCTCCATTTATAGGCTTAGTAGCCAGTTTTGATAGGTATCAATACTCCAACAAAGACTCATGCATTTTCTCAATTGTTTCAATCTATTATACTTCTCTAATACACTCCTAAAATACGAGATGTATTGATGCACTACAATATACCACAGACTAAGTCATTTTGTTAAAGCTCAGACAATTCAAGAACAAGTCTGCTAACACATAAGGTCACAGGAATATTGACTTCATTAGATATATAACTCCTTTCCACATTTCTAAGATTCAAAGAAAGGACACAGAATATTGGCAATTAAACTCATGATGACACAGATTAAGTTAAAATTGTTGTAGTAATAAGTTGATTCTAAACTGCTGCCCTACATCTAAAGATTCAAAAAGCAAAGCAAATTTAAATGGAGGCTTCAAAACTCTCTATTCATACTATTTAGGAATCTCTAGTAGAGTTAGTCAAGTAAAATGAAGCTGAAAATCAAGAGGAATCATATACATTTTAGAAAAATTAAGTTAAATTAACGCTCCAGTTTCCTAAATTCAAGTGTTTCCCAGTATTCTTAGGGACATGAATAGGAATTCATGACTTTTCTGGATTGTTTTCCATGTAAGCACTAGAAAAGTTCATATACATATGACTTGAATTCCTAAGCTGCAATTTTTATTTTGTTGGGAGGCAATGCTGCTTTTTTGCCAAACCACAGCCATATTTCCACTAGTTTTAAAAAAAAACACTGGTATATAGGATGACACTGGTTTACTTTACCCTCAACTCCCATAATATAAGCTATTACAATTGGCAATTTACAGATCAGGAAACTGAGGCACTTAAGCAGGGTGCCTCACATACTAGGAAGTGGCAGAGCTGGGATCAGCAATTGAGGAAATCCGGTTTCAAAGCCCATGTACATTCACTATGTTAAACTGTCTACTCTGTACTCTCACTCATTTGTATTTCATGTGTTGTTTCCCATATCAGTGGGTCTCAACTGAGGCAATTCTGACCCTAACACTCTTCTACCTCCTCTTTGCCTCCAAACAAATTGAAGAGTGTTTGTAGTAGAGACAATTCTGGTGTCACAACTTTTGTGTTGGAGGTGGTACACTGGCATCTTTGGTAGGGACAAGGCAGGCGTGCTGTAAAATCTAAAAATGTGAGAGAACAGTCCTCATGACTCATTATCCAGCACAAAACATCAAGGTTAAGTGAGCTGACAAGCCCCACAATAGAGTAAAAATTCAAGCCAGTAAGGACTGTTGATCTCAATTGCTACTGTATTCTCAGACCTAGAACGATGCTTGACATGAAGTACTTAAAATTATATTTTGAATAAATATTTATTGGTTTTTAAAAGTCTCCAACCAAACCTGGTACACAGCTGTTAGGGAATATGGAAGATAAATGAACTAATTGGTGCCCTCAAAGAGGTTCAAATGGCAGTAACAGGAAATACATTTAAGTGATTTCAGTGCCCCACAATTCCCCCTTTTAAAATTTTCTCCCAATGACTATAAATAAAGCTAGTTCTGCCAAAACAAGTCTGTTACTTTAGTATTTTCAGAGAGAGAGCATACATTTCTTTTTCTTTAAATATGCAGAATCCTTTAAGTACATGGACATACTAAGTCAAATAGGTAAGGAGTATTAACTTATTTTCTTCTTAATGAGTCCTTAAATGTTCCATTCAAATAGCATGTGTTCAAGTAATTAGCACACACCCCTAAATTAGAGCAATCACTAATTAATTGCAGATATGCTCCAGTGGTTGGCAAATACCTTAGGCAAGTTTTAGTTAAAATTTGTAAATTTCAAGGAAGAATGGAATTATAGCACACATAAGACAAAGACATCTTTATCCAAAAAGTTATACATGAGTTCACTTCAAAGATCTTTATAACCGTAATATTCTAAGTAACTTCCTCTTAGTTTAAAACAAAACAAAAAACCAAAAGAAAAATCATGTGTAACATCTGTTAAGGTATTTTCAATCTTCCCTACTTCACCTATTAAAAATTACCCAGAAGGCATATGTTTGTAAGTAGTAGTGCCTGAATTACAAAATTCTTTCCCCAGGAAAAAGTCCAAAAGGTGGTAAATATGGCTATTCAAAAATATCAGACATTTTTCACTCATCATTCTTATAATTAATGAATGTGCCTGGCTTGCCCAAATGTTAAAATTGTGAAACCACAGTGTGTAAAATGCAATTACATTTAAAAAGAAGTTAAACCCATATTTATTTTCTAGCACTGTTAAACATTACACAAAACACATTCAGTGGCAAGTAATTATAATGCAAGCCCTTGCATGGCAATCCAAATTTATTGAACTACTGATGCTAAGTTATACAAAATTGCACCACTTTAATTAAGGCTTTTAGTTTACATTTGGCCACCTCAAAGTAGTTGTAACATTAGGTTGGTCAATTTAAATACTGTGGCTCCCTGTTGGATAAACACACAATCTTTACACCCAAACGTTAATGCATACAAAGCAACAAGGCATTGTTAAATAAAACAGCAATAGTTACTGTAACTTAGGCCTTGTAACCAGTTACACATGATTAAAATTACTTCCCACATTCACATCCACAGTACTCTTCCACCATTTAACATCTCAACCAAAACGTTACACATGTGAAACAATCACTAACAGGCAAAAATACTAAACCTGTATATTTGGTATTGCAAATACACTTATGCATGAGCAAGCAAGGGATTCACAGTGAGAATCTACAGCTGCAGAAGCCTGAAAATGATTTACAAAAATTGTTAAATCATTAAAAAATTGTTTGAAAATATACACTTCTTGTTGTAGACCCCTCTGTGCACACAACTGTAAACACAGCTCCCTACTAAACAAAAAGGGAAGTCTGGACATTTCCTTCCCAACAGATATTAAAGGCAACGTCTTTCCTCTTAGACATTATACTGAAAGGACTATCATATTTTAAAGACAAGTTTACTGTCTCCACAGGCTTTTTAAAAATTAAAAAAACTATATAGCTGTGTTAATCAAAGCGCTTATTTGTACAATACAATGATAATGACCTTGGATTTCTTAAAAAAAAATTACAATAAGCTACAAGTATCAAAGAAGCGAAGTTATCTGGAGTAGTCTATATAGGAGCTCTTTGGACTTTCTTTTATTATGCTAAAATAGTGGTGCTTTTAGGATTTACATTATTGTACTCTCCAATACAAAGTATGGGGCGTGTTAAAGTATACAGTACACCATTTTCATACATGTACAACATTGGTGGATGAAAAATGTCTCTTAGCAGTAATACTGGATTGTAGCCTCTGGTTTTACCAGCTGCATACTCTAGGACTATTATATAAGTAAAAATCTCTCTTGTGATACTGGAAAGTGATTAGAATGTGCAAACTGATGTAGTAGCTTTCATCCGCCTCTTAAAGGGTACCACCACAGGAAAGTCCATTTAAGATGTTGGTAGGTTTAACAAAGTTGGAATGCTGGCACTGTTGAATTGGGCAACAGTTCTTCAGACCTGTAAAAAGGAAAATACTAAAATTAACTGAAAATATCAGTTGAAAATAGCACATTAAAGATCCAAAGGAACACATGAAGGCAAAAAGATGTTAAGAATGAGTACGTGCTTGTGCCTGTGTTATTTCGTTAATCACCACAATATACTACAATTTATAGGAAAGCAAGGCATGTGTATGTATTTTCATCTTTTTGAAATGACTTCATCTATTCTGCTGCACTCTTAAAATTTAGTGAAACGAAAGCCATAGATCCCAAATGGTGAAGCACCTTAACACAAATTTCTTTGTATTACCATCTGCCACAGGTTAAAGTGGAAAAAATAAACAAACCACAGTACAATTTTAGGTCAAGTCAACTTTATTAGAATTAGGATTAAAAGACAGGGAGCAATATTAACAAAATGAGTGATCCTGTAAAAGCGTTTACAATCCTAGAATCACATCATAAGCATAGGATGCACATGTAAGCCAGGGTTTCTAATATAAGAAAATCAAGACCTTTTCCTTCCTCTTCCAGTAGGAATGTCTACAAAGTTGCTTGAGAGGAGCAGACAGAACTTATTTCATGATGACTCTTTATAGATGACAATTACATATTTTCCAATTATCATATTTAAACATTCAACTTTAAAATGGAGGTCAGAAAAAGTGTTTGTTATTCTAAAACCATGTAACTGAACTTAAAAAGAAATCAGAACTGACTGTTTATACTAAATAGTTACTTTGGATGATTTTCTGCATCTATGCCTAGGCATAAAAGCATTTCCTTTTTCTTTCTTTGGTGGGGGGTAGAGGGCTGGGGAATCAGACTTGTAAACTCCAGAAATAATGTTAATATAAATGTGGCTGCTGGAAAAAATTCTTACAAATGCTTTAGGCATTAAACCCTCATTTAGAGTCTGAAGGAGGCAGTTAAATCTCTAAAATCTAGCAGATTGAATGTAGCAAACTGGAAAGGACAGATGGGAGTGTGTGAGCTCAGTCAGGAACATGTGTGTTGCTAAGAATGGGCATGTGGTCAGGAATGATAGGATTATTAGAAATAAGAGACTATAATGCTAAACAGAAATCTTTAAATGGAGAGTATAGACCAAAATTCTAAAAAAGACACAGGATCTGAATGCTAATGTCATATAAGGGCTTTTTAACAAAGGAAGAAGTAGAGCCACAAACACCAAAAGTTTGTAAGGTTACAGTAAAATGGCCTAAAGATACTAACCAGGAAACCATTATTGGCAAAATGGAGCCCCTAAGACTTGAGAGTTAACCATGTGCCAGGCATCTTATAACTGTTTTATAAGTATTAACAGGATTATCTTCAAAAACTACACATAAAAGTAATGTATGCTCATTTTTCCTTTGCTTTCTCATTTCTAGGTTGTATTTGTGGTTCTTTATGCCTGACTAACTCTTCATCTTCAACATCCACTTATCTTTTAGCTCTCAACCTAGCTCCCTTACTCAGATGTACTTTCACTTAATCCACAGTTCACATTTCACAGGTTTGATGGTCCAGTTATAAGCCTTAAAGAACCAGTAACAACATAGGACAGACTAAGTATCAACCTGGGGTCACCCTGCTTGGATTCAAATTTTGGCTCTACAAGTTTGGAGGCTTGAACAAGTAATAATCTTATTGTCTTTGTTTTCTCATCTATAATAAAGGAATAATCTGCGTCACAAGACTGCTTTGATAATTCAAATAATATACAGGTTAAAATACTTATGAGTGATTGACATATGGCAAATGTGTCAAGGGTTCTTATTAGTACCATGCTAGATTGATTCTAAAAAGCATATTTTGGTACTGTTTCCCAAATTCTTCCCACTAGACTTCAATTAGCATAAGGAGAAGAAAGAAGGTAAGTCAGGTTTATCATTGTATTGTTAGCACTAAACAGTGTCCTGTTAGGGTATAAGTACATATTGGATGAATTTATCTAAATTCTATACTATGCTTTCTTGTCAATGTTTAAATGAAGTAAAGACTAAAAGCTAGAGAAAAAGAAAAGAAAAGGAGGAAAGCATAAATTAACATACCTGGCTCAGAGCTACAATGCATTTAGTATATTAAAGCAGCTGACATGATGACTTTTTGCGGGCCTTCCCAGGCACTGGAGTTTTTCTGTTAATTTGCCGCACTAGGTCATAAAAGATCTGCAAAATTAAAAATCTTTAATTTACAGAATCAATAATCTAAAGAACAAAAACTTAAAAAGAAAAAACTATTTCTATAAATGAACTCCAAAACCCAAATAATTCTGTTCAGTTAAGGAATGAATGTAAAACCAGGTTTTCTTACAGCTGTCAATTTCTTTCCCATTTATTGTGAGGTGGGCTAAAATTGTTCTCAAAGTATTGAGTTGTGGTCAGATTTCAGTGGGGGACATTTATCATTACTCAAGGGAAATAGCTCTTTCTCTCCTTTTCAAATTTTTGTATATATCTTTGCTCTATTTCAACATGACTGTATAAGTCCCTTCAAGGGAAAATACCTACAAGTCTTTTTAAATTATTTCCACTATTTACAGAACATTCTTTTTATACTTAAAATTAATTTGTATTTCCCACCTCTATCATTTTCTGTCCAGTCTTCCTTTTTTTAATAGTAAATTCCACTGTGCCTTTAATAATCTAAAGTGGTACTGCTGCTTATTAACATGCATATATTCAATGTAAGATCAACAAGGTACCCTAAGTAAACATAAGTTTGTGTTACTAACTGTCATTTTCCACTAATTTTGATTGATAAGGGGTCCTCCTTGGTGGCACAACGGGTTAATGCCCAGCACTATGAAGCCATCCATAGCCATTGTAGCACAAGTTTGATCTCGGGCCAGGGAGGTGACCCACACAGCACAGCAGACTTCTCCTGTCTTGCCCACTGTCTCCCCTCAGCAGTGTTATTTCACTCCATCTGCCTGTTCTGCTCCCCACTCTTATCTCTGGTGAATCCTCTCATTCCTTGCACCTCTAGCCTGTACCCAAGTTCTTGTATGCATGAATAAATAAATCTTTAAAAAAATTTTTTTGATCGCTAAATTTCAAGAGTTTTTAAAGTATATTTCACCATACCTCATTAACATTTATTTTTGATTTTGCAGAAGATTCTAAGAATGCACAGTTGTTCCATTGTCTTGCTAGATTTTGACCTTGTTCCTTTCCTACAACTCTTTCATCTTCCAAGTCACACTTATTACCAACCAGAATCATCGGAACCTAAAGGATTTTGAGAGTATAAAAATAAAATAATGTATAAACTCAAAAAAAATTCTAGGAAACAACTCTTAAAGATTTCCTTTTATATTCTGCCAGGAAAATACTAAGTTAGTAAGATGTGATAAAATCAACAGTTTTAAAATGTTTTAATAATGTTCAGACTTTTAAGAATTATTTTAGAAAACAAATTATTATACTTATAGAAGAGGGGGAAGAACCCTAAAATTCTATCACAATGAACTTGTAAGTTAATTATAGTAAGCAAAAATTTACAACTTTTTAACAAGAAAGTAAAAGGACTATAATTGTGAAAAGGCAATATATTTAAAAATTTTAAAGTGCTTCACATAAATGTAAATCAGCATCATATTTTCTGGTTTCCCGACATGCATTCATCAAATAATCACTCTCAATTTCATTACACAAAAGGAGAAATTAGTAAAGTCCCTAAAGTAGAGTTTTCATTTTCCTATGAAGTCAAATAATGAATTCTTTAAATTACTGAAAATCTAGACCACATACTAATTTGGATACTTCTTCGTAATTTTAAAAGAACACTGTAGAGAAAAATATGTATTTTGTAGAACGCCTAATAACTTTTAGAGATTTGTTTTCTAAAGCATTTTTGAAATAAATCCAGGCTAGAAAATAAAAAAATTGAATTTTTAGGAACAGATATATAAATTATTAAATTAAGAATGTAACTGATAGAGAATACTAGTTACCGGAGACATACGAAAGCGATTTACTAATTGAGAAATGCACATGGAAGTTTCTAAAAATATGTAGGATCCTTCAAACCTTTCTTGTTTAAGGCCAAAATATGGCATCATGTGAACTAGTAGGCCCTTTTAAGATCTTATAATATTGGATATAATTAAGTCACAGTACAGTGGTTCTTTGATGTAGTGCCCACATCAGCAGCACCTACACCATCTGGAAAGTTGATGGAAATACAAATTCTTGAGTGATATCCCAGACATACGATATCAGAAACTCTGGGGGTAGGCCTGCATGGCAGTCTATTTCAACCAGCTCTACAGGTGATTTTGATGTAAGATGACTCTTGACAGTCACTGCTATATACAGTATGCTCAGAAATTAAGTAATCCTTTTGAAATTTTTGCAGGAATTAAATTCCATTAAGGTGTACTTTGAATGGATATGTAAACCAATGCTAGAATCTGCTACAGTTTTTACTTTTTCTTTGTCACAGTTGCTGGAGATGTTTCCATATGCATGTCAGATAGTTAAAAAAAGATTCTCAAATCTACCAGAAATGTGGTCAGAACATTTGATCACTTAGTAACATTTGCCTCCAAACATCTCTTTTCATGCCACACAAATGCATGACTAAAAATAGGCAGAGCACAAACTTTTGCAGCTTTTATTTTCCTTGTCATACTTGAAAATAGGTATGTGTTAAAGACATATTTATACCCTTAGAAAAAGCTTTTGAAAAACAAATCTCCAAAACTACATGGAACTTTACATTGAATTTAAATTAAAGTTTTAAAATTGGTTATCATTACAACAAAGGTTTGAAATAACATTCATTTATTAGGAAGTCAGCTTACATCATCAGTGTCTTTAACTCGAAGAATCTGTTCTCTCAGATCTTGTAAATCATTAAATGTCGACTGGGCTGTGATGGAATAAACTAAAGCAAAGCCTTGTCCATTTTTCATGTACAAATCCCTCATTGCTGTAAATTGTTCCTACATCAGAAAGAAAGAACCATTTAAAAATGTTTTATAGTATCTATGGGAAGATACTATTTGAAAAGCTGGAATTTCAAAATACAGTTTTTTTTTTTTT